CCCAGCCCAGAGCACCCTCCTGCACCCCTAACCCCTCATCCCCAGCCTCACCCCAGAGCCCGCACCCCCAGCCGGAACCCTCACCCCCCCACCCGACTCCCCCAACCCAGCCCGGAGCCCCCTCCCACACACTGAACGCCTGATTTCTGGCCCCGCCCCGGAGCCCGCACCCCCTCCCACACCCCAACCCCAATGTTGTGAGCGTTCATGGCCCGCCATACAATTTCTATTGCCTGATGTGGCCCTCGGGCCAAAAAGTTTGCCCACCCCTGATTTAGCGGCACTCAACAGCCTCCTTATCCCCTGGATCAGGGAGCAGAAGAGGTTGCTGGTTATATTAAAGTTTCCCTGATTGCCTCTCCTCTGTTGTGTCTGCAGGATTCTCACACCAGGGCATGTTTTAGCGGCTCTAATGGGATGTCTGTCTGGTTACTGGAAGCTGTGAGATCTATTTGATTGTGGAATAGTTTCCCCATGGAAGAGGCAGAAACCTCACCAACTGAGTAATTCTGAGCTAGACTGAACATAGCACTGGAGAATATGCTGCAGGAAACACTCTTGGGCCAGACTAGATGTATTGAGCCAATGTGAGGCAGTACCCCACTGCTGCAGGGTATTTTTAAGGTCCCATCAGTGTCTGCAGAATTAAAAATGTTATGTTACAAACAGTTCCTAGCTCTAAGGGTTGCAAAGAAAGCTTTCCCTATGCGGCCCACTGCAGCGCTGCCTTCCTGAATCGGGAGCCTGCAACAGCAGCTCTGACGACTGGCACAAACTATAATGGGGCATTTGCTCTGATGCAAAATGAGCATAATATCAACGCTGTTAACTATCTCACTGTATATGTGCAGCTCCTAGCACATTGCGTGTGATACTTGTGGTCCCATTTTTGTTTTCCAGCACTGCTGGTAAAGCAGAAATGTGCCGCTATTCTGGGATGGTGGGCGGGGCATCAGTTTGTGGGTGGGGCTTTAATAGAGCACGACGTTTATTTATTTATTTATTTGTGTCCCTAGTCTGATGCCCGGGACTTGCTCCGGTTGAACGCTGTTCAGTTTGGCCTGTTCGCACATGGGCTGGTCAAAGGGTAGAGGGGAAAACAGAGTATATAAACCCAGAAACAGAGAAGCATGAGCAATCTAGGAGATTTGCGGCCTGGCGTGGCTTTATGCCTGATTGTCTTGTCAAATCCGCGAGTGAGAGCGCTTAAAGAACCGTTTCATTCTGGATGACTTGTGGGTGGGGTATTGAGCTGTAATCTGTAATTGCCCTGTGCACGGCCCTGGGCTCTGTGTAACGTTTATAACTGGGCAGTATTGCCGAAACGCTGTTCTAGCGTGATTCTTTATCAAAAGACCTACGTCAGAAAAGGCTCTTCTGGGTGTGATTTCAACCTGACTCAAACCAGGAATGACCAGGGAGCTCCAGGAAAAGACAAAATCTGGGCCCCATTGTGCTCAATGCTGTATATACATGTCGTGAGAGATACGCCCTGCCCCAAAGAGCTGTCTAAATAGGCAAAGGATGGGAGGGGAAACCGAGGCACAGAGGGGCGATGTGACATGCTCGTGGTCACCCAGCAGGTCAGCGGTAGAGGCAGGAATAGAGACAGATCTTGTGACTCCCAGATCAGTACAGCAAAGTGCCTGCCCAGGATCAGGGGAGGTAGCGGAGGCAACGGGAGCAGATGTTACACCACTCCATTATAATTGGATATTTTTCTTTTCGTCGGTTACTTTTAATCAGTATGGGAGGTCGCAGGACAGGCCTCTTTGCTTCTCTACATTTTAGACAACATCTTCCAACCACCCAGCAAGCCGCTCCTTTTTGCATTCCAGACACCAGGGAGAGCTCATTTAGCTCAGAGCAATTACAGCTCGGTGCAGAGGAACTGTTTGAACTTGCTGAGCTGATAATAACGATGGAGATGGACGTTTAGAGAGTGGCTCTCAGCCAAGCGCTCCACAAACTTAGATTAAAAATTCTGCATTATCAAGGGATCACTTCACACCATCATCAAAACGCAGGCACCTCCGGGGTGGAAAGCAACAGTCTTTAAACAGCAAGCAGCAACCTTGCCCAGCAGCTTGGGGCAAGAAGGGGAAATGAATCCTGTATCCAACTGAAACTATTGGGAGAATTTAAGGTCCAAAATGTAAATATAGATTCATAGAGTCCAAGGCCAGAAGGGACCATTGTGATCATCTAGTCTGACCTCCTGCACAACCCAGGCCAGAGACCTGTATGGGCTCAATACAGCCGTTGTTCTTAGACTGCACAAGCAGCTCTTAATGGACAGGTTCAGGACCCATTGTTGCTGGATCAGGCCCTTTGATCGTAGGAGTTTGCACCTTCCCTGTATATGTGCAGCTCCTAGCACATTGCGGGTGATACTTGTGGTCCCATTTTTTTTTCCAGCACAGGTGGCAAAGCGCCACCTACCATGTTGCCAGGACCATTTCGTGCCGTGATCTGGCATTTCTATGGAGATATCTTATCCAAGTTCCGATCTGGTCCAGCCCTGCCTTGGCTTGGGACGAAGGCACCACCCAAGGGGCATGAGAGACGAAGGGGGACAAAGGAGAATGAAATGGGAAAAACTCCTACCTCAAAAGTGAAGGGGTAGGCATGCTCGCCGAGCTTCTTAATCAGCCGCTCCTGGAGTCGCGTCAGGGGTTTCTTCTCCTCAGGGACCGGAGGGAAGGCCTGGATGTTGGCCACAAACAAGTCCTTCCGAAAGGTCAATCCCAGCACATCCAGATCCTCCCGTCCGTAGCGGAAGGCGCACGTCAGCGTGACAAAGACTGCGGGGGACAGAAGGTATCAAATGGGACAGATCAGCAACAACCCTCTCACCAGTGCTAGCATCAGTGACAGGCAACTGGCAGACAAGTTGCTCTGCCCAAGTGCCCACAGGCAACATGTGGCACAACTGGGATTGGAGCCTACATCTCCTGCCACCTACTTGACTGGCCTAGCCACAAGAGCAGGCCCATAAATGAGGATGGTTCTCCTGATTCCCACGGGTGTAACAGAGGAGGGTCAGGGCCACGGGCAGCTACTAGCATGGCACGTTTGCGTGGGTTTGATGAAAGATTTGGGTGCAGACATGCTTTCATGTGTGTGCGGGGGTGGGGGGATGAGGAGGGGAACAGACAGAGCTGGCAGTCGAGACACGAGGGTGGGAGCCTGGATTTAATTCCACGAGTCGAGGGGCGTTTGCATCCGTCGCCTTATATGTCTCGCAGTACCACAGCCACACACAGACAATGACACGATCACACCAAGCACCCAGGAGAAATGACTCAGACTAGGGAGAGGGGACCCAGCCGCTGCGCTCCAAATCCGGGTGGCTGTCTCCAGTCTCACCGGCCCTGCCGCCTGCAGCAAGGCCCGAAGGCCTAAATAACAGACTCTCCTGCCGCCCTGTCCCGCGCCGGAGTGCGGGTGACGGTGGAAGGCAGGAGGGTTCGGAATGAGTTCGACCCCTGAGATCAGTCTCTTCCCCAGTCAAACATGTCACTGGCAAAGCTGGGCCAACATCACCTCGTTCATTAGCTTGGACATTAGATCCCCACCCTTCTGCTGCTCTTGTCTCTCGTAGATTGCAGAGCAGGGACTGTCTCTAGCTGCGTGCTCGGTATCTCTGCTCCAGCACAATTAGAGTTTCCGTTACAGTCATGGCTAGAGAGCTCAAGACGGAGGGTGCTGCGTCGGCCTTGCCTTTTGCCCACAAAACCCCCGAGCCCAGCTGCCATGCAATACAAAATGGACCCCGCACAATCCGGGAACACGAATGGTGAAAGAACAAACCCCCAGGTGCTAGTCACTGCGCTCAGATACTCTGGAGATGGGCGCGCTGTGTAAGAACCTGAAGAGAACAGACTAGTGCTAGGCATTGTACGCACGTCGTAAGAGACAGTCCCTACTGCAGAGAGCTTGCAAGCTAAGAAGGCACGTAAAAGGGGGTTAAAAGGAAATACGCTCCCTTGTCCTGTAGCACCCCCTGCTGGCTGAATGTGGTGCTGCAGGCACTCCCTGCCTCAGTTTCCTCCTCCGCAAGGCTTTCTGGCTCTCCTGTGGGGTTCATAGGGCTCAGCTCTCCAAGTTCAGTTCCCTTTTGGGGAGCAAAAGTCCAAACAAACAAGAAGGTCTTTTGATCCACTTGGGTTCGTCAACCCTCCCTCTGGGCTCAGCTCCCAGCCCGTTCGGAGCTACCTTTGTATTTCTGTGCTCTGGGGCAGAGTGCTGACTCCCCGGCTGCTTCCCTTGAGTCCAACCCCCACCCCCCGACCCTGTTTCAGGGTCTTCCACGGGCACCCAACGTGCTGCCTGCGGTTCCTCCTTTACACGGAGTTTTCTTAGCCCTTTTAAAGAAATCCCCCCCGTTTGGGAGGAGAGGGGGTGCTCATCTGGTACAGGTAGGGCTGGGACAGGCCTGGGGCAGGCAGACCGAGGCAGGCTGCAGGGACAGAATTAATCCTGTGGCAGCAAGATCCAGGCAGAGACAGCAAGCAAGGCAGGACACTCCTACATAAAGAAAGCCCAGGGAGCAGGGTAGGCTGCTGTGGGAGGGAGCTCTGAGCCAGGGTTGGGGGGTGGACACAGAACTACTTCCACAGCCCCAAGGGGTGGAAGGATCATTCGGATTTGCCGGGACTTTCATTTGGCTCTTTTGGTTACCCTGAACTTTGTGACTTGGCCGGAGGGCCGAGCCCCAGAAGAACCAGTGAGAGGCAGGCAGCCTGTAGGAGGCGCTAGGGCCAAGGACACCAGTGACATTACACACACACAGACGCAAGGGGGCGCTCCAAGGGTGAGCGTGCCCCATCGCACACCCCCGTTTCACAGACAGGAAAGTGAGAGGTTGAGTAACTTGTCCAGGAGCACAGGGGAAGTCCCTGGCAGACCTGGGACTCAAACCCAGTTCTCCCCTGAGTTCTAGTCAAGCGCCTTAACAACCAAACCAGCCTCCTTCTTTTTCTGTGACCCAGGGCGCAGTTTTCCAGCTGAATGAAATGCTTTGTACTCGCCGGTCTTCACAATCAAGACCCCCTAAGAGAACAGAATTCTAGTCTTGAGGTTTCCTCCCATCGCCACATGGGACCTTTCGGAGATTGGTTATTTGGAGGCAATCCCCTCCCCCCCCCGCCCCTATTCTGCTAGGCTGAGATTCTCTGTGATTTCTTCTAGTAGAGGTCCTGAACTCGGCTGCTAATCCCGAATGAGCCCTGCGCACCGGGTGCTCTCCTTGCTCTCGGGAGATCCCTGGTTCCTGCTTTGGCGCAGCAGATAACTGACCGACCTGCACCCCCCAGCGATATTTAGGAGCCGTGTCTGTGTTTTCCTGTTGCCATTTAAAGCAAGCACGTTTTCAATGGGGTTCCTGCTCCTTGCTGGCCAGTGTAACCTGCGGGCTTGGAGAAGGGGACTGGAAAAGCGCATTAGGATGCCCTGGCAGAACAGGGGAGAGGCTGTTTTCCCCATGTGGGTTTTGAAGCCCCAGTTAAACACTGCAGAGTCAGCTGGAACCAAAGGGCTAAGCAGTTACCTTTCCTTTCTTTTAAGTACTCTGGATCAACCAACACGACGCCATCTGAAAGAGAAGACAGGCAGAATTAGGAAGGAAACTCAGAGCACGAACTGGTCTCCCTTGCATTGGGGCCCGGGGTGGGGGGGAGGGAGGGGAGATATCTCAGGTATGTCCCGTAAACACAATTCCCTGGTGTCCCACAACAGCTCGTCCTACAGATTATGAAAGGATGGGTCTGCCTGTTCCCCACCGGCCTCACGCACCATCTCCATCCATCTCTGTCATGCCCCCTCTCTCCCACATGGGCCCCGTCTCTGATTCAGCTCATTCCCCTTCGGTCCAACTCTCTCCACCCCACCAGAACCAGATCTAGTGATCCACAAGGGCTTTACAAGCATTAGGCCTCACAGGCTGTGAGGACGGGCAGTATTATTCTCACTTTGCAGATTGGGGAACTGAGGCACAGGGAGATTTTTTTAAGGCCCAGATCTTCAGTGGTATTTAGGTGCCTAACTCCCATTGATTTCTTTGGGAGTTAGGAGCCTAAATACTTTTGAGGATGTGGGCTTCAGTGACTTGCCAGAGGTCTCACAAGTCAGAGCTGGGATTAGAACCAAGGAGCCTTTGACACCCAGCCCTGGCGAGTGCCTCGAGAGGCGTTTCTCTGCAGTAGCTCGTCTAGGAGACTATGGCCCACCTCTTTCTTGGCTGTGGATTCAAGCCCGTTTCTTCGGGCCATGGATTGGCTGCAACAGACCAAACGGAGGATGGCTGCTCTCCAGAGGCAGCTCCCATTGTGAGTTGTACCAGGGCTGTTTCTTGAGCTTCCCAGGGTTCTGCCAATTCTACCATTGTGCGAGGCTCCTTGAACCAGCCGGCTGGACAGCCCGTGTGACGGAGGCACCGCGATTTACATGCCCAACCCCCTTTATAGCGAATACTCCAGGAAAAACGTCCCTCTACATGACCCTCATGAGCTCGAGGGCGTTTACCCTCTCCTTGCTCTCACTAACTTTACTGATGGTTAAACACACACCAGGCCAGGCCTTGGGGCTCTGAAACAGGCCAGAGCTACCACGGAAACCCAAGAGAGCTTGCACCAACCATCACCTTGGTCATCATCAAGGACTGAACTTGGGACTTCCCGAGCGAGAACCATGAGAGGCTAATGCTTGAGCCAAAGGACTGTAAGCCCTTGGGAGGGACCCGTAGCAGCGTCAGACCCTCTGTGGACCAAGCCGCAAGGGGGACATGTAACACACACTGAACAGTGGGGTGCATAAGGACTAAGCAGGAAAGCCCAGATCCCCAGAGGTATTTACGTGCCCACCTACCATTGATATCAGTGGCAGCGAGGTGCCTAAATATCTTGAGGATCTGGACCAAAGTGAATAAAGGGGCGGCTCCGGAGTAGAGAAAAGGTTCCTCTCTGCCAATGGACATTAGGAAGCTGGGTGACAAATGTTGTCTTGAGCAAGCTTTGTGTACTGAGCTTCTGCTCCGCAGCCGGGGGGGAAGTTACCCTCCCACCCGCACAACACGGAGAGCTGCGAGCGCTTGGCCCAAAGAGAATTGAGTCCCGTTGGTGAACGAACCAACTGAGGCCACCCACCAGACAACTGCTCTCCTCCCAGCAGCAGAGATGAGCCAACTGCCCTCACAGCTCCGCAGAATGCAGGGTTGGAGGGGGAAGGGTTGGCCATAGCAGAACAAGAGCCCATCCAGGCCTGGTGTCCCTTCTGCAGGCCTGGTCTAAAGGGAGGAAACACTCCTGCTGGCCTCAGCGGGCTTTGGATCAGGCCCTGGGACAACAGTCCTAGATATGCACTAGCTACACAACACCGCACAGGTGCAACGGGAAGGCTTTCTCCCTCAGCCCTGCAGCTGATCCGTTTGTGCCCTCCTCATTTTGACCCCGGCTAACTTAGAACACTGTCAAATCATCGTCCACCAATCCCAAGGCCAGAGGGACCATTAGATCCTCTCGTCTGACCGCCTGCGGAGCACAGGCCAGAGGATTTCACCCAGTTCCCTCTGCCTTGGGCCCAGTCACTTGGGCTGGACTAAAGCAGCTCCCAGACAGGCAGCCAGTCTGGATCTGAAGGCGTCAAGAGACGGAGAATCTAGCCCTTCCCTTGGGGATTTGCTCCAGTGGTTAATCGCTGTTAAACGGTCGCACCCTCTCTGCTAGACTAGAGAGCCAGCCCTAGAGAACCCAGGACCCATGCAGGCTGTTTGGCTCCTACGATCGTCTCATTAGTACTCAGCGGCAGCAGGTTCCCCGGGTTAACACGCTGCACCCAAACCCTGCCTTGTCTCCTCTGTAAATCGGTTGCCCCTTCCTTAAATCACTCCTAACAAAGCACTGCTGGGGATGAAGGCGGGGGCAGGACACTAAAGGAGGGCAGGAGCCTGGGAAGAAACCCGGTGTGAGATGTAGGCAGGACCGATCTGTGCCATGCCAGGATGGTGAGGACAAGCAGGCTGGATTGGGAGGAGGGTTTAGGGACACAACCCAGAGAGACCTTCCCCTCCAGTTCTGGGACAGATTCCCAGCGTGACGGCGTCTGCTTGCTGGTTGTGGTTTGGGGAAGGTGGTGGTGTCCTCCGAACATCCCCAGCTGGGGGTTTGGCCCTGTCCCTCTCTGCGCTCGTCATTCCTCCCTCGAAACCTCTCCTGAGCCACACAGCTAGCCAAGCTCGTCTCCTCTGCGTCTCTTCCCGCGAGAGCTGGAATCGCAGAACCCACCAGGGTCACTTGTCACCAGCCCTTGGTGTGCCTTATCTCCACACAGGGCCCAAGCCTACGAGCCGAAAGTGCACTGGGACTCAGGAGAGCGTTCCCAGCTCTGCCACAAACTCCCTGGGTGAGACCCTGAGCAGGCCCCTTCATCGCTCTGTGCCTCAATTTCCCAGCTGTAAACCAGTGACCGGGATCCTTCTTTTCTCCCACCCTCTGTCCATTTTGTCTGCCTAGCCGGCAAGCTCCATGGGAACAGGGGCGGTCTCCCACTCGGTATCTGTGCAGTGCCCAGTTCAAAGGGGCCCTGATCTCAGCTGGTGCTAGGGCTGGTCAAGACATTCCATTGTACCTTTCTGGCTGGGAAACTGGGCTTGCCTTGCGCAGGGAGCGCCTGTTTTCTTTCCTAGAGGTTTGATTTTTTATCAAACCACCAACCACCGGAGTGTTTTCGGGTTTTCGATGAAAAGTCCATTTTTTCTGCTGAACAGTTTGATGAAAACTATTCCTGCCCCCCTCCCTTCCCCATTGTCATCAGAAATCTCAGCCATAGGGCTTGCTGCTTCGAGCAGCTTCACCCAGGTGTGCTAAGCACTTTACCCAGCAGGATGGCAAACTCCTTGGGGCAGGATCATAGCCTGGCCTGTCTGTAAAGTCCTATGAGTGTTTATGGTGCTGACGGAGGAGGTGACGATGGACACGGCAGGGAACGGCTGATGCCCACCGCCAGGAGATGCTGTGGAGTACCTCCGAGCTATCAATCTGGCACTACCCATTCTAGGAAAGTGTTGCAACGCACACGAATAAAAGCAAACAAACATGTCAGTCTGCGAAGACCCTGTGCTCCGATCTGTGACTAATAAGGACAGCTATGTGCTGAAATTAATTAGTTTGCTGGGGGGAAGGGTAGGGGGAAGCTACATGAAACCAAAGCAAAAGAATGTGTATCAGCAAACATTAAATTGGATTAAGCTATGTTAGATTCGACGCGTGGATGAGTCAGGTTTACGACTTCCCAGGGAGGAGAAATTAGCAATTTGAAAAGGGCTTTTTTTCCCTAGCTAAAGTAATCAAAGGCAGGACTGTAATTAAATATTAAAAAAGCCACCACGTGCAAGAGGAGAGAGAATGGAGAAGCAATGCTCTCTGCTACTCTGTGTAATTAATGCGGGGAAGCTAAGTGCATAATAAAAATAATAACGATAATTAGAAATTGACTCTAGTGCACGTTCCCGGGTATTGGTGACGGGACGGGAAGCGTCTCAAGACAAACAGTGTAACTTGACTCTGACTTTACTGTGTAAAGAGCTATGTATCTATCCTGAAAACACATGTTTAGAGTCTGTATCAAAGTATTAGTCACTAGCACAGGTGAAAAAACAGGGTTTCCTCCAGAAATGTCTCTCTCTTGGCCGGGATTTAAAATAAGCACAGTAAGCACAGTGTTTTTAGTGGATGCCTGTTTAGATACAAAGTCAAATGTTAACAAAGAGATGTGAAGTCCACAGGGAAGGAGCACAGAGAAAAAGAAACGAGCCACGTGAGGTTATCCTGTGTCTGAGTAAAGGCAACGAACTTGGGGGGGATTTCTAGAAGGCAAAGAGGACACCCCTTGATCCAGCACCTCGGAAGTAAAGGCACGGTGCGTTTGCATTCATGAAACCCGTCTCAGCCAGCCTTGGTTGAAAACGCCGAAGAGGACTCTTGAGGAGCAAATGTCTTTCGACAGGAGGGTAACCGGCTAGTTAAGTTTAGTCTCTAGAAAGCATGTTTTTCTTTGAGATGTAACCATTGGTTTCCAACATCCTCATACACTAGCGCCTGAACCTCCGGTCTTTGACAATAAACTTATTCTTGTTTTCACTCTGCATCTAGCTCAGGGCTGTGGGGTGTGGAGCAAAGTGCTGGTCCCGGGTTGAATCTGACAAGCTGGCATGTCCTGTTCCTTTGGGAACAGCCGGCCTGGCAGCTGTGAGTGTCCAGTGAGAAGGGGCTGGGCACTGCAGGGAACGCTCCGAGGCCGCGGGCGTTGGCGTGTGCCATTCATTGCCCGGTTCAGAGAGGGCGAGTTCTGCGGGGGCCTGGCAGGCAGGGCTTGTGCTGCCAGAGGCTGGTGGCTTCAGGGAGCTGACCCACGGCAGGCACAGAAAAGTCGCCTTCACGCTAAGGGCACGGAGTGGTGAGGAGCGTCACACAAAGGTTTTGCCTGATATTCAGCCACAATCTTCCCTTTCTAAAGATGCAGCAACCCACTTAAGTGTGTGCCTGACTTTAAGCATGTGCTTTAAGTCCCATTTATTTCAAGCAGGTGTCTAAGTGCTTTGCTGAACCTGGGCCTTAATTTCACCCTGCTCCGCTTAGTTCTACCTCCAGGTACCACCCTCAGTCATTCTCCCCTCTTCCTGCTGTTCGCGGGCTTCAAGTCTTTGGACACTTGTGCTTCCCCACCTTAGCGGTCACTTTGCCAACCTGCACATTTCCAGCTCTTTTAATCTGTCCTCCCGTGGCCGGGCACCCACCTGCCGAGCACCCCCTTGTGGCCTAGGGTGGCTCTGCAGCAGCCTGCCTCAGTTTCCCCATCACTAGGGTGCTCCATCTCTCAGGGATTCATGCGGCTCACCCCACCAGCTGGACAGCTCCGAGTCCAGTCCCCTTTCGGGGTAACCGAAGTCCGAACAAACAATAAGGTCTTTTGCCCACTTGGGCTCCTCTTCCGCTTGTCTTCTGGGCTCCCTTAAGTCTTTCTGCTCAGGTGTTTTACAGGCTGTCATCAGAACCTATTAGTCCTGCCCACTTAAGCTGGGAGGCCACTAATTATGGGACAGGTAGGGCTGGCCCCATTTCCCCTTCAAGGGGCCAGTCACCCTACGGCACCTCCTTATAAATGGAGACCTCCTTTCTCCTGATCCTTTCTGTTGCTCTTCTCTGCACGCCCACCTGTTTGGCAATATAGTTCTGCCAACCTGGTACCAGGGTCCAAACACAATATTCCAGGCCCTGTTGCACCTCAGCCACATAGCAAGAGACCACTGCTCCCGGCTCTCTGCCTACTCAGCCCTCAGTCAGGCCAATTCCAAACTGTTGCCTATTATTTCCTTGATGGAAATATTCCCTCGGTGGTCGCTCTAGTTCAGACTCTCTGAACCACCCCATCCTGTACCACTATGGGCTGGGTTTTGTAATGCAAAATTCTTATGACAGGGGAATTACGAAATTCCACAGTCAACCTGTGGAACTCCTTGCCAGAGGATGTTGTGAAAGCCAAGACACTAACAGGGTTCAAAAAAGAACTAGATAATTTCATGGAGGACCGGTCCATCAATGGCTATTAGCCAGGATGGGCAGGGATGGTGTCCTGGGCCTCTGTTTGCCAGAAGCTGGGAATGGGCGACAGGGGATGGATCACTTGATGATTCCCTGTACTGTTCATTCCCTCTGGGGCACCTGGCATTGGCCACTGTGGGAAGACAGGATACTGGGCTGGATGGACCTTTGGTCTGACCCAGTCTGGCTGTTATGTTCTTAATTGCCCTCAGCCAGTAACAGTTTTTGGTTACTGCTGGGCTGAGCCGGATTTGCAATCCCAAGCCAGCCACTCCTCCCTGACTGGCACTTTTACAGTTAGTCTCTCAATTGCTGCCTCCCATTCTCAGAGAGCCCGAAGCCCAGTGAAGGGAGTGGAAAGGCTCCCAGGGACGTCAGTGGGGTTTGGATCAGGCCCAGACAGAGACAAGTGAGAGAGAGCAGCAGCAGGGGGAATATTTTCAAAAGTGACTATGTGGTCTTTCAAAAGATGTAGGTGCCTAAATCACTGCTCAAAATGTTACCCAGGGGCATGAGAAGGAAGGCTGGACTTGTAGCATCAGCTCAGGGGAGGCGGGTTCAATCGCCGGCTGTCACAAACTCCCTGTGTGACCTTGGGCAAGTCCCTGGATCTGTCTGCGCTCAGTCCCCAAGCTGGGAACTGGAGAGGATAACAGGGCTGGGGTCTGGTTCAATTTTAAGTTCTTTGGGGCACGGGCTGTCTTATTATGTGTGCGTCTAGTGCTTAGCACAATGCGTCTCCAATCTCCAACCTGGGGATTTCAGTGGGTGAGAAGCTGGGTATGAGTCAGCAGTGTGCCCTTGTTGCCAAGAAGGCCAATAGCATATTCGGCTGCATTAGTAGGAGCATTGCCAGCAGATTGAGGGAAGTGATTATTCCCCTCTCTTCGGCACTGGTGAGGCCACATCTGGAGTACAGTTTTGGGCCCCCCACTACAGAAGGGATGTGGACAAATTGGAGAGAGTCCAGCGGAGGGCAATGAAAATGATTAGGGGGCTGGGGCACATGACTTATGAGGAGAGACTGGGGGAACTGGGGTTATTTAGTCTGCAGAAGAGAAGAGTGAGGGGGGATTTGATAGCAGCCTTCAACTATCTGAAGGGGGGTTCCAAAGAGGAGGGAGCTAGGCTGTTCTCAGTGGTGGCAGATGACAGAACAAGGAGCAATGGTCTCAAGTTGCAGTGGGGGAGGTCTAGGTTGGATATTAGGAAACACTATTTCACTAGGAGGGTGGTGAAGCACTGGAATGGGTTACCTAGGGAAGTGGTGGACTCTCCTTCCTTAGAGGTTTTTAAGGCCTGGCTTGACAAAGCCCTGGCTGGGATGATTTAGTTGGGATTGGTCCTGCTTTGAGCAGGGGGTTGGACTAGATACCTCCTGAGGTCCCTTCCAACCCTGATATTCTATGATTCTATGATTCAGCTGGGGCTTCTGGGTGCAACTTCACTACAAATAATAAATAATATGAAGTAAAATCCTGGGAAATGATCTCCCAGTGTAACCCGGGACCTCGGCTGGGAACGGAGCTGGACTAGTTCCCTCTCCACAAATCAGAATCCCAGTGTGTCAAACCCTCCCAGGAGCTCACTTCAGCCCCGGGGGCTGTGTGCTGTGTTGTAATCCCGACAGTGCGCTGCATGCACGTGAGCTGCACACACGACAAGCCCTCACGGGATCCTCCTAAAAAATAGTCACTGCACCCAAAACGTTGTTGTTGTTTTCCAAAGGGGACACTAGGCTGCAGGGGATGTACAGCCAGAACTCCTCTTATTAAATCAGAACCCGCGTTCGGAATTTCACGCCTGAAACAAAAATAACCCTCCCCCCCCGAGCTAGTGCGACTGTTATCCTGGCACATGCATGGCCTAGACACACAGAAACCAGCTCATTCCCAACCGGAGGGGAGTTCAAAAGGAAGCGTTCGCCAAACCGGGGTGTCTCTGCCTGCCGAGTTTGGGTCAGAAGCACGCTTTGGCACTGACCGATGGCCCAGTCCTGCAGACACCACAGGAATGGGGAGTTTTGCCACCGATTTTGACAAGCGAGAGCACGCCTGGTCACTGGGGGCTTGTGTGCAGCCTGAGCGGCCACAACAATACAGCCACAGCGACGGAAACCCAGGCCGCTGATACACTGACGCGGGGTCAAAGGGGACGTATACTCCATGAGCTACAGGTCCCTCTTTATGCGGGCACTGCATGTCCACACTAGGGGTCTGCATCGTTATGGCTAGAACTAGTCCTGTCTCCTTCCAAACCCCTCTGAAGACCCTCTTGTGAAGCCTCTAGCCAGCTGAGATTGCTCCTATCTACTGTATTGTTTTATGGATCTTATTATTTATGGCAATCCAAGTGTTTAATAATAGTACTTAATCGACCTGACACTATGCCTGGCCAGCACGTTCTTATTAACCTGACCCTGATCCCCCTTCCAGTACCTACACCCACTTGCATCTGGCCTTTACATCATCATGTGAGTTCTCTGAGGCATGAACTGCCTGCTACCATCCTGCCCAATGGGGCCATTATCCTGAGCCCCTGGGTGCTATCGTAACAATACGGCTAGATCTCAGGAGCGTAGAATCCAGTCATTTAGCAGTTAGAGGAGAGAACATTCTCTCCTCATGCTTAAAATTGGCATTGGAACAAACCCCATTAGCAGCAGAGGGAACATGCTCCTGTGGAAAACCTCTAAATCCAATGTCTAATTGGAACGTACAGCAAACCTGTTACGAAAGAACAAAGTTCTGGACGTGCTGTACTTGGAGTTAATACAAAGCAAAAGTACCTTCTACCAGCACGCAGCGTTTTCTAGTAACATCATGTCTGCCCTGCGAATTCAACCAAGCCCCTGTTACATTGCACTAAGCCAAACCGAACGCTGACTTACCAACAGGATCCACAACATCTATGTGGTCGACAAAGTCCCTCTTCCCAAGGTAGACGGTGAGCTGGTAGGAGAAGAGACAAACACAAAGGGAATGAGAGGCAGGACAAAGCATTGTCGTAATTTCACCTTTCCTCAACGCTGCTTGTGTTTAAGAGAGGCCAAAATACAAAGGCAGTGGCTCCCAGGCTGACGACATGGGGTACAAGGCCTTTTATTTTCAGTGTGGTTTCAGTTCACTTCCAGTTAAAACCTCTAGGAATGTTTGCTTTTTATTGGTGAATTTAGACTACTCTTAAAGTGTTAAAAATGCTCACCTTTGGATTCGGGGAATCAGTGCTATAATTCCACCAAAGCAGAATGTCTAAAGTCTCCAGGATGGTGGCACTCCAAGACTGTAACCACTGCATTGGTAACATGGGCCGTGGTCTCTGGGTTTTAGGGTGGTGGTATGGGGCCTTCTCTGATGGATGAGACACGTTCTCTGGGATGGCACAAGAGGATATGATCTCTGCCCATGGTTTCTGGGGCGGGGGGAAGGAACATGGTCTGTGGGGTGGTGGGTTGGGATGTGATTTCTGGGATAGCTGTCTCTAGGTCATGGGTCAGGACATGCACTGTGCGGTGATGAGATGTGATCTCTGGCGTCGCCGGGCAGAGGGGCGGGACATAGTATCCAGTTTTAGGAGCAGCACTTTGGTAACAATTCTTTAATAGATTTTAGCCTCTTTGGCCATCAGTGATCATTCACTGCCCCGTTTGTCATGGATGCTTTAGAATGACCAACAAGGAGCATAGCTAATGAAGCCACTGTGGTCCTCTAGCTCTGGAGGTGGGCACAGCAAGACCCACAATTTACTCTATATCTCTACACCCCTCTGCAGCTTGTCCTGGAACCCACAAGGGGGGAGGCAATTCTTGATTTAGTCCTGTGTGGAGCAAAGAATCTGGTCCAAGTGGTGAATTTATCTGAGCCACTCGATAATAGCGACCATAATGTAATTAAATTTAACGTTCTTGTATGTGGGAAATGCATAACAAACCCACTCCAGTAGCATTTAACGTCAAAACAAAGAGGAAACTAATTAATGGAAATTAGAATGAAAAGGAACAGTCATAAGGGTGAAACGCTTGCAAACTGCATGAAGACTATTTAATAACACCTCAATAGAGGCTCAAATTAAAGGTATATTCCAAATTAAAAACAAAACAAACAAATGAAAATCAGCAAGAGGACCAAAAAATGCCACCATGACTAACCAGTAGAGAAAAAGAGGCAGTTAAAGGCAAAAATGCAGCCTTTAAAAATGTGAAGTCAAATCCTACTGAGGAAAATAGAAAGGAGCATAAACTTTGGCAAGTAAAAGTCTAATAAGACAGGCCAAGAAAGAACCTGAGGAGCAACTAGCAAAGGACACAAAAACTAACAGAAATAAAAAAAATGTAAGTACATCAGAAGCAGGACGGTGGCCAGACAGTCAGTGGGGCCCCTGGATGATCGAGGTTCTAAAGGAGCACTCAAGGACGATAAGGCCATTGCGGAGAAGCTAAATGAATTCTTTCCATCTGTCTTCACTGCAAAGGATGTGAGGGGGATTCCCATAGCTGAGCCATTCCTTTTAGGTGACAAATCTGAGGAACTGTCCCAGATTGAGGTGTCTCTAGAGGAGGTTTGGGAACAAATTGATAAATTAAACAGTAATAAGTCACAAGGACAAGATGGGATTCACCCAAGAGTCCTGAAAGAACTCAGATATGAAATTGTGGAACTATTAACTGTGGTATGTAACCTATCACTTAAATCTGCCTCTGTACCAGATGATTGAAGGATAGTTAATGTGACAGTGATTTTATAAAAAGGCTCCAGAGGCAATCCAGAGGCAATTACAGGCTGGTAAGTCTAACTTCAGTAGTGGGCAAATTGGTTGAAACTATCGTAAAGAACAAAATTATAAGACATAGATAAACGTGATTTGTTGGGGAAGAGTCAATAGGACTTTTGAAAAGGGAAATCATGCCTCACCAATCTATTAGAATTCTTTGAGGGGGTCAAACATGTGGCCAAAGGTGATCTGGTGGATACAGTTCTATTCAACATATTCAGAAATTATCTGGAAAAAGGGGTAAAGAGTGAAATGGCAACATTTGCAGATGATACAAAATTACTCAAGATACTTAAGTCCAAAGCTGCCCGAGAAGTGTTAAAAAGGGATCTCACAAAACTTGGTGACTGGGCAACAAAATGGCAGATGAAATTCAGTGTTGGTAAATGCAAAGTAATGCACACTGGAAAACATAATCCCAACTATACATACAAAATTATGGGGTCTAAATGAGCTGTTACCACTCAAGAAAGAGATCTTGGAGTCATTGTGGAAAGTTCTCTGTAAACATCCACTCAATGTGCAGCTGCAGTCAAAAAAAGCTAACAATGTTAGGACCCATTAGGAAAAGGATAGATAATAAGACAGAAAATATAATGCCACTATATAAATCCGTGGTTCGCCCACACCTTGAATATTGCATGTAGTTCTGGCCGCCCCATCTCAAAAAAGACATTGTAATTAGAAGAGGTGCAAAGACAGGCACACAAAAAAAGTGATTAGTGATGAGATGAAATAGTTTCCATACAATGAGAGATTAAAAAGACTGGGTTTCTTCAGCTTAGAAAGAAGACAACTAAGCGGGGATATTATAGAGGTCTATAAAATTTTGACTGGTGTGGAGAAAGTGAATAAGGAAGTGTTATTTGCTCCTTTGCATAACACAAGAACCAGGAGACACCCAATGAAATTTAGAGGCAGCAGGTTTAACACAAATAAAAGGAAGTATTTCTTCACACAACACACAGTCAACCTATGGAACTCATTGCTACAGGATGTTGTGAAGGCCAAAAGTGTAACTGGGTTCAAAAAAGAATTAGCTAAGTTCATGGAGGACAGGTCTATCAATGGCTATTAGCCAAGATGGTCAGGGATGCAATCTCATGCTGTGGGTTTCCATAAACCTCCAACTGCCAGAAGGTGGGACAGGATGACAGGGGAAGGGTGACTTGAAATTGCCCTGTTCTGTTCATTCCATCTGAAGCACCTGGCACCAGCCACCATCAAAAGGCAGGATAGTGGGCTAGATGGACCATTGGTCTGACCCAGTATGGACATTCTTATGGTCTAATCCAGGTCTAAACAGTCAACTCCAGGTCCCCCATTTGGCTGGATTGGCCAAGAATGAGCCATTAAAACCACTGGGTTTGCCAAATTTTCACCATTAGGGTCCTTAAGTAGGACAAGAATTAATATTATAAAGAAAATCCTCAGTGCTTTGTGAAGAGGTAAAGGACCCTACTCTGGGGAAGGTCTCTCCCAATGCTCCTCCTGGTTATTTATTGAATGATTTTCTTTTAATATACAGGATAGCCCCATTAAACATGATAGCTTGTTTACGTGTTCGTGCCTGAGTCTTGTTTCCATTATGGTGCCTGCTTTCGGCTGCTGTGTATATCTGCTCCATGGGACAGTCCCTAAGTGCAGTTGAATCGTCCAGCTCTCGCCTGGTAGGATAGCTAGAATACTCCATGTTCAGTTACCCTCTGCTCAGTCCCGTTTCCACCAGCGGATGGTGGATGCTCTCTGGATCAGAGAGCTGTATCTGTTTCCATCATGTTGGGTCTCCTGATCATTTCCTAAAGGGGAGACCCGGATGCAATACAAACCTGAAACTCAAGCTTCATCGGATGAAAGGTTTTCTGATGCTATGGCAACCCGCAAATCAGTGTTTGTTATGAATTCCCCCTCCTTTGCCCCCCCCCCACACGCCTGGTCTGCGCAGGCTGTGAAGCTGCCACAACTCCCAGCTAAGGCCTTTGTTCTTTGGCTCAAGCTGTAGAGGCAGATTTGCGTAGCTCTGGAGTTCTCAGGGTCTATCTCTGGTGATGACCAAGATGGCAGTCGTTACATTACCAAGCCTTTGCTGAATGCAGCGTAAGTATCAAGCAAATCAATAGAACACTCTGGGCCGGCACCGAGTTAGGTTTTGGGAGCAAGAGATGAAATTCATGGTTTCAAGCAGGAAACATCTGAAAGGCTCTGCGTCCATCATGCTTTCACCCCAGAACTAGGAAAAACGTGGCCATTTGGGCTGAATGTTGCCTCAATTTGGGGTTTATTCGGCGTTTAGCGAGGCTCTCCTCTCACGAGCTCGCATTCCCAAGGGCAATGATCATCAACGTACGGTTTTCTAGACAGTAACCAGTCAGGTGCATCCAGAAACCCTGTTCGAGTTAATCTGCTTATTTTAAATGCGTTAACAAGCTTGAGAAAACCCTCTGTTTGGCACAGCCGACTTGGTTAGCTGGGGCATCAGGCTGGATTCCTCATGTCTTCATTTGCCTGTGTTACATAGTTCCAGGTCCCCCTGTGGCCGAAGGAACGTCCCGCGGGAAGTCAGTTAGTCACCCCAGTATCTGCATGGGTGGGGGCTCTCTGGCTCCATCTCCAAAAGAAACCCGTAAGCAGGGAAAGCAGAAGGGCGAAGATTGGAATCAGTGTAATATGGCTGTCCAAGGGACCCTCTGAGACGAGCGATTAGATGTACATGCTGCCAACAGATGGTATCAGATAGCTTACAAGGTCATTTAGATGATCTGGAATAGTGCAGCACAACTTTGTATACATCACATCCATCTGACATGGCTTTAAAATAAGATTTGCAAAGCCCCTAATAAATCCAGTGGTTTATACTTGATTTGTCGGCATCCGATTTTATCACGGTTTGGCCCCTAAGTCCTGCCTGGAAGACAATCATCTGCTTAAATGAGAAGTTCTGAAAGCCTAATTCCCCACACAGCACTGAAGAAAGAAAGAGGAGTCACCAGCGTTTGTGTCACAGGCTATGGTATCTTTCACCCATTGTCCGTCTACATGAGAAGGACAAGGACACAGCAAACAGCTAGTAAGCCAGAAACCTAGCAGTGCCCTAACCCTAAACCTAAGTGCCCCCCCGCACCCCCCTCACTGCATCCCTCCCTGTCCCAACCCCCCGCACCCCATCCCCCTCACTGCATCC